CTCACTAAGCTATGTGCTTACAGTTTTTAGTTCATGTTTTAGGTACTTTCGGTTCCCTGGGCAAGAGCTTAGGTTGACCGTATCGCATACACCATACAGATTCTACGTTTCTTATTTACTCTGATTTTGATATATTGGTAATACATTCTTTTGATGAGATGTACGAATGATGTTTCAAAACACTATTTTTATCTGTTATAAAACAAAATTTATGTATGTTTCAGATGATGGGAGATCCCTAATGCTTGATGAACAAAGTGTTGTCAACTTTCCTCGTTTGTATTCACTTTCCAAAAGATAACTAGCCAGTGTATCGTATCCTATCCTGAATGCTTGCTTAAAACCTTAGACAACTTTATCAATATTATATACGTCATTTGGAAACTCTTCATATGCAAATCCTGGAGGTTGTTTTATAAAGACTTCTTCTGAAAGATTTCCATGTAAGAAGGAAGTCTTTACGTCCATTTGGTCGACTTTGAATTATTTGAATAAAGCAAAAGTAAGGAACGAAAGGATTGATTCAAGTCTAGCAACAACGGAAAAGGTTTCGTCATAGTCTAACCCTTGCATTTGACAAAATCCTTAGGCCACGAGTCTTGCTTTGTTTTTACTGATATTTCTATCTTCATCCATCTTGTTTTTGAACACCTAGTAAGTACCTATGATGGTTTTTCCTTGAGGACTCGGAACCAAAGTCCACAAACGATAACATTGAAACTCATTCGGCACATCTTGCATAGTTGTGCTCCAGTCAGCTTCCTTGAGAGCATTAACAACATTCTTTGGTTTGATCATAGAGACAAAATTCACAAGCAAGTAGAAGTTGTTGTTGACTCTGCTATGAGTGAGAATTCTAGAATTTACATCTCTAATAATTTGAGATACAGGTTGATCTCGAAGAATTCAAGGATTAATACTCTCATCCGTGTTATTCAGAATTGAAACTTCCTTATTTAAGGAGTTAGGTGGCTTAGTTTTTCTAGAGACGACATCATGATCTTTAGATTCAGAATGAGACATGATAATTTTATCAATTTTAGAAACAAAAAGTCCAGTGACATTAGACAAGAAATCTAGAATAGGTTCTAGAGAGCTGAAAGTAAGTTCATTCATAATGGAAGAAGCATGATCAATCCGATCATGGTTGAATGAGTGTGCATCGAATGTGACATAAAAAATTTCCTCAACAGTTTTCCTTGAAATATTATGAAGGCCTTGGATACACTAGAGTATCCCATAAACACTCCTTCATCATCTTTGGATTCGAACTTTTAGTGCTGATCTCTTTGATTCAAAATATAGTGGACATAGCCCAACACATGAAAATAAGTGATGTCTGATTTTCTCCCTTTCAGCAAATCGCACGCAGTCTTCCCATGTCGCTTTACAATGATGGAACAATGTTGAATGTAATGAGTTGTGTTGAAAGCTTCAGCCCAAAAGGATAAAGGAGGACCAACTTCAACAACAAGAATTCTCCCAACTTCAATGAGAGTTATATTTCATCTTTCAGCAATACCATTTTGCTAAGGAATTCTAACAACAGAGAAGTTTTGAGAGATTCCTGAACTTGAGTAAAAGTCTTCTAGGGAGGAGTTTCTGAATTCAATGCCATGATCACTATGTAATTGTATGAATTTATGATCATAAAGAAGTTCCCATTGCGTAATGAGTGATATGTTTTCATCAATAACATCGCTTTTCTTTCTTAGAAAGATTACCCAAGTAAATCTTGAAAATTCATCAATGATTACCAGAGTGAACTTCTTCCTAAATCTTAACTTAATTGGGACTGGTCCATAAAGGTCCATACGAAGGAGATGAACGGGTTTGATGATGGAGGAACATGACTTAGGCTTGAAGGAAGACTTGATTTTCTTTCCTTTTTCACATGCTGAACATAGTTTATCTTTGATAAATTGCATCTTAGGAATTCCTCGCATAAGCTGAATTTCGGAAATCTTTGATATGCTCCTGAAGCTCAAGTGATATAGTCTCTTGTACCATAGCCAATTCAGATGAGACTGACCGCATGAAAAGAAGCATCGTCGAAGAGAGTTGTTAGCAGAAAACATATCCAAAAACACATATGTCATTCTGTCTATTTGTTCAGCGTCACATAATTGGTTGGTTGAGATGAGATTGTGTCGAGGGCCTTTTACATATGAAGCATTCTTGAATACAACATAATTGCACTTGATGGTTCCATATCCCTTTGTAGCTCCCTTACCATTGTCTCCATATGTAACAGTTGGACCATCATTCCTTACAAAGTCATCAAGAAGTGACTTGAAACCTGCCATGTGTCTAGAACAACCACTATCCAAGTACTAAATATGTTCTTTATCAAGAAAAACAAACAACTAAAATGTATAATTAGTATATACCGACCTATTTTGCAATGGATCACATAAGGGAACATGTGATAACAAGCATTAGGAGACAATTCAATAGGTTTCCCTTTTTGATCCATTTTTCATTTCGCGTTATGATGTTGTAAGTACGAATGGAGCTCTTTTGAAATGTACACTCGATGACTCTGTGAAAGGCATCACCAGACCGATAACAAACTTTGGTTCAATGATTCTTTCTTTTAACATTAGAACTTTATTTTCTTTTATCAATAAAGCCTGAAGAATTTTGATCATTTGATTTAAAAAATCTTGCTTTACTTCTCGACCAATGAGTGTCATCGATGGTATGCTTAGATGACATTTTTCGTGTGGCATAGATGAGCTTAAAGAATTATTCAAATTAGAAATCTTTAATTGATCTTCAGATTCAATGTTGCTAATAGAGCACTAAGGAAACATGCTAAGAATTTTGTTTACAAAATGGACTTCACTGTTGGAGATAGGAAATTTTAGCAAGATCTTGGTGGATGGAAAAACATACTCATGATGAGGAGGTTGACGAGAAGGATTGAGGGTAGATAAATGAGATACACATTTGGTATTACCATTAGGGTCAGTAGTACAATGTGTATTAATCAAAGTTTGATTTATGTAATAGGTACCTACAAATCTATCTCTAAAATATTTCTCGAGACTATCAACGTTATAAAAAGTTTGTTTAGTCTCATGCTTTTTGATTAAGGATACAACGCCTTTAACATCACCCCAAGCATTTTCTCACACTAATCAAAATTTTAATCATTAATAATTCTTGTGACATTACGGTGTGAAGAAGCCTAGTTATTTAAAATAAGTTGAATGCTTCTTGCATGATAAACAACTTTTTTCCTTTTTAGCATGAAGCAAATTGTTGGTCAATGAGATACAAGTGTTTACCTTTTTAAATGAGAAAGTGAGGCCTCCAAAAAAGAGAGTTTTTCTTTAAGGTTTTTAACTCAATTTTGAGAGAATAATTTTTATGTATTTGAAATAGATAGATCGAAACGTTGATCATAAAACATGTTAGTTTTTTCAATGGACAAATAGTTAGCGAAATTCTTTACCTAATACGTTGAGGCTAAGTCCTAGTCCTAAGACTTAGAGTCTATGACGACTTGAGAAGGGTCAACGTCAAATGTACTAATGTTGTCTCTTTGTGCTTCAGCATGAGACTCGATGATTTGAGCCATGAGACACTTGATTTTTTAAAACTTTATCATCTAAAAGTCCTTTGTCAAATGCTAATGCTAGGTTAATTATCGTCTCTTGTGTAGTTGAGCAATTATGAACCATACGATAGACATGATATGGAAGAGAATTTCCAATAGCAATCCTTGGCTTCATGTCGATATTTAGAACTCTTTTTTCTTCTTTGTTTGATCCATACACATATTTTGGCTTTAGTTCATTACTGAGTGCATTATCATTGGAGAGTAGATGCATAGAGACGATGGGACCCTGGTTGATGATCTCAAGCATGTCACAGTCCATGATTTCATGAACATCCATTCCCTTTAATTTCCCAGATGCAAAGTTAAGTTCATCAAAAGGAGGAATCTTGTTGAGAGCAGACGACTTGGGATTATAGGAAGTTGACATGATAACTTGAGTGTATCATAAACTTGCTCTGATACCAATTGATGGTTTGTATCGATTGAATACACTCAAGTGTGAATAATAAATAACAAATAAACTAGACAAAGATTAAACAGAAACACTGAAGAACACAAGTAATCACATAGATGTTTTTACTAAGAAATTTTTTTCTCTCCCAGAGAACGAGGTCACAAAGACGGTAACCAATACATACATTAGGGTTTCACCCTAATGTTGATTATATACTATTAGAATAACTGATATCACACAAATCAAGGGATATATACCTATCTAAGTAAAGGTCTGATCCTAATCATAACGGTTATGGATCAGATATATATTCTATATATACGTATAACTGCCTAATATACATAAGATCATCAAGATTATGGAGTTCACACTGACGCTGATTATTCTGGAGCTTGCGTTGGCGCTGGTGATGACATTAGCGTTGGTGCTGTAGGTCAGCGTGTGATGTTCGACTCATCAAATCATAAGGTGTGACCTTATAATGATTTTGATTAGCTTACTTAGGTCTACAAAAGGTATGTATTCTAAATATGATTTCGAATCTGTAGGGTTTAGTTGTGTTCTTCATAAGTATGTTGCTATTAGATATGAAAAAGATATGGATCCATTTTAGGTTGCATGTACCCTTAAATGTTAATAGATTTTCCGTTTGTACATTAAATTTGTAACCTAAAATAGCAAATAGATTTAAGGAAATAATGTTTAACACATGCCTCACCTAATACTCTTTTTGTTTTGTGCAGTTTTGGGTGACACATTCCTAAGAGAGCCTAACACTCAAAAGTATGTAACTTGGAAGTTAAAACACTCGTATTTTGATGATTTCTTCTTGTATTTTGATTTCAAACCTACATATCACACCATATTTTTATGTGAACGAAGAAGAAAAGATTATTATAAAGAAATAAAGCAACCTTTAGGAAGCTGGACATCTAATGTTGAGAAACAAAGACGAAACAAAACAAAATTAATCAGACACCGGGATATGAGCCCAAAAGGGCACATATAGTTGCATATAATAGAGATTAAACAACACCTAAGATATGCAAGTTCTTAGATCATTTCTGAATGCAGTAAATAACTTAGCTATCGCCTTCAAGTTTAGTGATATTATGTATTTTGTTTTTGATAATGAAAAGCATATACTACTGTACCAGTCTTTTCTTTTGCTCTCCAAGCTAATAACAACGTTGATAGGCTTTACTTTTCTTTGTGTAAACATCTTCAAGCTCCTTCTGTAAACAACTAATTCTCTTTCTTACAAGTTCCAAATCGGCTTTAAGTCGTTTAACTATAGCTTTACGTCCCTTTAGATCCATTTTCATGTCCTCAATGTCATCTAATCGAATCTAACAAGATAAGTTTAATTACGTACATCATATAATTAGTACTACCAAAAATGATAAAGACACAAAAATGGAAAAAGGGTTACCTTTATCTTATGTTGTAGAGCTCGCTTTAAATCTACATCGTACTTCGATAGTCTTTCGATTGAGTACCAAAAACTAGGAAGGTGATCAGGCTCTGGTGCAGTGTAAATTTCCCGTGTTTCATTGAGGTTTCTCATTTCAAGATAAATTCTCATTTCCTCTAACCGATTCTTGTTCCCATGTTGGATCCTTTGCGCCATGCTCTCACTCTTTGAATGGTGAATGGAAGAAATCACTGCGTAAAATTAAAGGGAATATAGATATGATGTTTAAGAATTAGTTATCAACCATACCAGATCTTTAACTTGTGTAGAAGATGATGTCAATCCACCTGAGTTCTTTAGACACAGAAGTTCTTCCTTTACTTGATGCAAATAATCCGTGTCCATCCTCCCTTTCTTGATCAGCCTTTTTTGGCAACGTTTTCGATCTGGTCTTAGAGGCGTTTGAGCATCTTTTTCAGACAAATGTAAAAAACCAGTTGTTCTTGGTATTGAATTTGTAGATAAATGAGGCTTGACTTTACACAGATAACCCTCAAGATTACTTATTTCCTGTGTCTTGCGTTGTATATACTGATCATGATTTGTAAACCACATTAATTTCCGGTTTATTTGATGTTCATCTGCCTGTTAAACAGTTCAGAAACAGAAAAACAAAGAAACATATGTGAGCTTTGCTTTTGCAACAATCGATCCAAGGAAAGCATAAAACTTTTAAGATCTACAGTTACCTTTAACTGCTCTATATCTTTGTTGATACTGGATCGAGCAAGAGTCAGCAACTGACATTTTTGCTTTTCCACCTCTTCTTTTTGCGTTTCATCAAGAGAAGGCTGAAACTTGGTGATATAAAAACCATGAATGTGATTTCCATCTTGTAACTCTATTCGCATGGCGTCGCATTTCTTGTATTCTTCCATTTGAGCCGACATCATTTAAGTCTTAATTTCGTGATTAAATGAAGTAGGCAGTGATACTATAGGGGGAGTAAACTGGATTTTCCAAAGGAACTTGGAAGCATAGCCAATTCTTGGTGATATGATGTATCGTTCATTACTTTTTATGGATTTATAAATTAGAGCACTTGCACCCCACGGCAAGAAAGTCAACGAAGAAAATAATTACGATTTAAAAATGAATAGAAAATCATAAAACTAATAAAAATGAGTGGATGCTATAACCAAAAGTTTTAATTAGTTTAGATCATGCGGTGGGCACACTGCACACATGCATTTTAGTCATTGTTTTGAAAAAAAAAAATGACACCATTAAAATTTTGTGTCAGGGCCGGTCCAAACGTATATGGGGTCCGGGGCGTAAAGAAAAAAATAGTCCCTCAACGACAAATATAATAAAGATTAATATATCATTTATTCTTTACTATATACATTTTCAATTAGCACTAACAAGTAAACCAAATTGTTAATCTTTTAAGCTACTTTGAGTTTGAACTAACTTTAGACCCTAATAATCATTTAGGTAATATTTTTTTTTTATATATATACACTGCATAGTCTAGAAATTTTGGGCCCCTGAAGACGTGGGCCCTGGGCGATCGCCCGGGTTGCCCACCGTCTGGACCGGCCCTGGTCATATGTAAAAAATACTCTTTTTTTCCTGTTGGACATAAACTAATAAAACTGATATTTAAAGGACCATGTCTGGAAATTTTATGTAAAAGTGAAATTAAATCCTAATTGTAACCCCACCGATTATGACTGTAGTTAGGGGAACATCATTTGGAGGTTTGAGAAAAATCAATGCTCCATGGACAGAAACAGATGGGTGCATACCACTGTGGTGGTACTGGTTCTGGAGCAGGTGTAGGTTTTCCAGACCGGTACAACAAGCATATGGTACAAATCAATGAAATGGTTGTTATCCAACAGTTTAGATGAGTTATGTGACTTGGATGAACATTTATAAGTTTATATAATGTTTATTTAAAAAATGCAATCTTAAGATGGTGTTTATCTAATTAGAAAATGTCGTGATTATTTATATAAAAAACATACAAAAGTAATTGCTGTTACAAAAACTTATAAAAAGTAATTCGATCTCCAAACCAAGTCAACCAACAAAAAGTATCACTCGTAATAATAACATATAAAAGTATTTACCTTAATACAAAACTTGGTAGCTTAATAATAATTTGATACCTTGTGTTCGAAAGATTGTAACTTAATGACTATGTTACGAAATATGTTGGAATTACAACTTAAAACAAAATACAAAACGAAGCTACATGATTAGAAGATAACATGCCATTGAAACTTCAAAAAAAATAAGTTATTACATTTTAAAGTATTTCACAAAATACAAGTCAGAAGAGCTGAAAACCTTTCAACTTTGATATCGCTTCTTCGGAGATTGTAACTCAAATATTAATCAATCAAAAAAATGTAAACATGTAACACAAAACTAAGCACAAGCACCAAACTAAATGTTGGAAAATATATCATGTCAATATACTTCAAACAAATAAATTATGATATTTTAATGAATTTAATTGATTATGCTTTTAAACTTCCAATTCCAAACCGGTTTTTACACAAAAGTGGTCAGACGGAACCAATATTGTATGTTAGCAAAGAACCAATAGGTTGACTAATGCATATGTCCGTGATAGGTCCCAATATGTAATCAACACTAGTATAAAAGACATTTATTGATACGGTTAAAACTATTCGTTGATGCAGTTTTCAAACCACACCGATAAATATAGCATAAAAAAATAAGATATTTGTTGATGCGGTTCCAAAAACCGCATTATAAAATTTTGTAAACCGCATTACAAAATGTCCTGGAAAAAAATACAACTAACACCAAAAAATAACATATTTGTTGATACGGTTCCAAAACCGCATTATATAATGCTATAAACCATATTAGAAAATGTCATGAAAAAAATACAAATAGCACCAAAAAAAACTAGAACCGCCATATTAAAAAATCACACCAAAAAAATGGAAACCACCTTAACAAATCTGCTAAAAGATCATTTTTTGGTGCCTTTTAGATACGATTGTCTTATTTTTTTGATGCGACAGATATCACACCAAAACTTGGGAACTGTTCTATTAAAATATAGCACAAAAAAAACGTATTATTAAAACAATTACCTTAAAAAATGAGAAGCACATTTTAAAATAGTGGCACAAAATACCAATAATTTATAATCGGGTGTTTAGTTAAAAAAAAAAACTAGGATCAAGCTATTTGAATCCTTTTTATTTTTTTAAAGGATCCTAATGATTACTTTAACTTTTTTTCTTAAAATAAACTACTCATTACAAAATAATTATTTTTTATTAATTATCATTACATAATATTAGATCCTTCGTAATTATTTTTTATAAAAAACATATTAAAATATATATATATATATATATATATATATATATATATATATATATATATATATATATATATATATATTAAATCTACAAAATAAAATATTTTAAACAAAAAAAATTATTTTTTTTCTCGGTTTTTTAATGCAGTTTATATAATAATAATAAAATAAAATTACAATATAATACATAACAAAATAATTCAAATATATTTCCATACATAAAAATAATTCAAATATATTCATACATAAAATTCTAGTGGAACAATTAGATTTTTTGGTATGTATGTCTTCGCCTAGTCGAACCATGGACGCCACTCATTCGCCGCCACCATCGGACAACCCAACTGCCGACTCACCACCTTTCTTTTTCTAATTCTCTCTTTATTTTCCCAACAACTTTTAACGGTGGGAAGAATCGGATTTTTGGTGTGTGTGTGTGTAGATTTTCATTTCAAATTATTGTATACTTGTATATATACATGAAACAAGCAATTGTCGATGTAGATATATGTAAAGTCACTATATTTTCTATTAATAATACTTAGTGCATTTAAATATTTAATATCATTTTATTTTTATTTCTTTGTTTATAAAAATATTAAAATATATAGAAAACGTTAGCATGTTGTATTATTATTTGATTATAAAAGAATAAAATATATAATAAATAAAAAGTTGATATTACACCTCTTAATTAATGTATTGTTACTTGTCAATATATTAGTTATCAATTTTAAATTTATTAGACCTCCTCATTAATGTGATGTTATTTTTCAATATATTTATTCTCTATTTTAAATTTTATATTTTATATTATTGTTTTTATTAATTCACAAATAAAAAATAGATCTAATATATATTGAGAATTAATTTTACATATTATTTGAATCAACGATTATAATTTCACATAACTAATAAAAATATCTCTTAAATTAATAATTTATTTAAAATAACTGATTAAAATTTTGAGTTTTTACTATAAAAGTTTGATTAATTTTATAACCGCGGTTTCCACAGGTTATAAACTTGTTTGATTATAAAAGAATAAAATATATAATAAATAAAAAGTTTATAGGAATTAAATGATTGGTACAAGTTTCCAAAAAAAATTAACTTTTAGTAATCATACAAGGAAATTTATACTTAAAACATCATTAATAAGGAGTCCTCTAAAAAAAATTGGAATCCAATTAATAGAACCCAAAAAACTAACCATCAATTAAAATACTAATTAATACTACAAAACATCCTAATTCTTACACAAATTTTTTCATCATGTCAATTAAACGCGGTATCATTTCTAAGACCACATTTTCATGTTCTTTAGGCAAAGCATACTTTTTCTTCTTCCAAAAGTGCAACAAACAAACAAATTATATATATATATATATATATATATATATATATATATATATATATATATATATATAAACACAACCAAATAGAAAAATTGATGTTTTTTAAATATATGCAAAACATTTACTCTATTTTGTATATCATGTTGAATGATCTCAACAAACTCTCACATATGTTTAATTACTATGTATCTACATTCCCAGATTACTTTTTGTTGGTCGCACTACATTTAATCCACAATTAAATATTGTCAAACTAATTAAAATAAATTTATAAAAAAATAATAGAAAACATACCTATAGTGTTATCCAGTTGTTAAATTGTCCCGGGAAACGTTTATCAGCTAAAGAAGGAAAGAGGTTTTCTTTCTGTTGGTCATTTTCGTCCGTTTTGTTCTTTTCGTTTTTTTTTTGTTATTTTTGACATTTTCCTTTATACCACTTAAACAAGCAGGAATATAATCGGATTTGCTATTTGGACATTGGATAAAAAGCACCCAATGCTGACTACAAGAATAAAAATTATAGAACAAATAAACATGTATCTGTAATGTATATATATATATATATATATATATATATATATATATATATATATATATATATGTGTGTATATATATTATTAAACAAAGAGTTTACTCGTGTAAATATGGAGCAAGGAAAATACCTTCATGATACGAAAATACTTCTTTAATGTGCTCAATGGTGACTATCATATTTTTTCAATGATTTAAATTGCTAATGTAGAACGAATCAAAGAAAGCGCATTCTGCATTAGGCGACCTAAAAAGAAGTCTGAATGTGTGTGTATATATATATATATATATATATATATATATATATATATTACACAATGTTAGTAAAATTAATTATATCTAAAATGTTATTATACTATATTAAAAGTATAATAACTTAGATCGCAAACCAATATATAATGCTAAAATCAAGCAAATCCTTTAAAAATAGTTGTAACACCTTGTTATATGGGATGATAAGTCAAACCCTATGGCAATACATTCCTTAGGTTGGAAGAATATTAATGGCATGTGTACACCCAAACATTTCTGCTACTTGAAAAGCAACATTTTGGATTTTAGAACTTCTTTGTTGTATTTTTCTCAAAGATGTATACACTTGAGGATCTTCAATTGTAGACAGCTCGGGTTCGGGTTCGTGTTCAGATTTGGGTTCGGTTCAGGTTCGGGTTTGAGTTCGGATATGTGTTCAGGTTTAGGTTCTCGTTTGGGTTCGGGTCCGGGTTCATTTAAATCATTTGGTGGTGGATTCATAGATAATAACTAAAAACAAACAAAAAAATTAGTA